TGAGTACAACACAATATATCCTTATCTAGAACAGAGTCTCTCAGAACAGTCTCATGTTAATTTTTCTTTTAGTAACATCCAAATATCCACTTAAGCAATTGCCAACAAGAGCATGGTAAGTTGTTTGTACAATGTAAATGTTAAACTCTGGGACAGGTTCCGAAAGAACTGACATCACAGAAATGCTCAGACTTAAATTTCAAATCTCTGCTAAGCCTTTATGAGAGACAAAGTAATACATAACAATGTGAAAACATAACTTAGCCATAGTAAATCTAGGGTTGGTAAATCCTGTGCCAGCCACTGCTGTCATACAGGAGATCCAAATTAACCTTATAACAGTGTAAAGAGTGGTCACATGTTATCCAAATAGCTAAGATTAAAAAGCAACTGAGCTGTCACAAGCCCAAGATGCCAATAAGGCCTTGCCATCAAAGAAGAAGATCTTAGAACAACTATTAAACACCAAAACTTTTGCCCTAGTAGCTAAATAGTGCTTTTCCAACTCTTGCAAGGGACAGGGACACAGTTAAGAAGTTTCAAAGGTTGATTAAACTGTAGCACAGAGAAACAACTGACATAAAATCAATTAGGTTGGAAAAGACCTCTAAGATCATGGAGCCCAACTAAGCCAGCACTGCCAAGGCCACCACTGAGAACAATCTGCATCTTGGCACCATGAATGCCACACACCGCGTATTTGAAGAAAGCAAAGGAAGGAAAAAGGGGGTTTAGAATTTGAAAAAGTACCATGTTTTTATCCCTAACCCCCGAAGCAGAGATGGAGGAGGGCCGTGCCCATACTCACAATCTTCAGGCCTGCCTGGGGCGCCCCTGAGGAGGGGGTGAGGAGCTGCTTGGCGATGGCCTCGCGCTGGCTCAGGCTGGTGGCGCTCAGCACCGTGTGCGAGCCGTCCTCGTTGATGACCATGGAGGCCCCAGGGTGCACCTTGGGGCCATTGATGACAGCCTGCCTCAGCTCCTTGACGTTCCAGGGGGTGACTGGCTGAGGGTAGGTCAGTTTGGTGGCAAACACCTGGACAGGAAGGAAGAGAGGAGAGAAATAACATGTTGTTCAATTTTGGCTTAAAGATCTAAAAACCACTGATCAAACAGCATCAAAAATTAAGAAATATAAAGCAAATATAAATTACTTTAAGCTCTTGAATGCATCTCCTCAGTCTACTCTAGTGCCAAATAAACACAATTCTGTTTTAAAATCCTCTACCATACAAATAGAAACAACGTCCCTTTCACAATTTTCTACTGTGGTACGAAACTCAATTAGCAATTAAATAAAGCAATCATGGATTTAGATTCTGCAAATAAGCCAACAAATACAGAGAAAAAGCACATTATCATAAGGTTCACTACTTTCTGCAAAGACAAGATGATGAAAAACTCAAATTCAGGGTTGGTGTCATCTTTGTGTAGCTAAAAATCCTTAAGGATTGTTGAAGCTGGTGACATTACCACAGCCTTCTCTTAAAGCTGCAATGTGGAAACCCAGAGCACCACAGGGAATATTTCTGTGTCTGCTCTGGGGTGCCCTGACCCCCAGGGCAGCACTGACTTTCACCCTCATCCATGGAGAAAGTTTCCTAAACTTCAAGATGGACTG